TTCCCTTCCCTCACATCTCCGAGGGAACTGCTGTCCCTCCCGGCCTCTGTTTGCCTACCTGGAAAGTGGGCCTGCTGCACCCACCGGGGGACCAGCGGCAGGGCAGGGGGGGGTGCTCGGCACAGGGGCATCCTGGCATCTTTGCAAAGCATTTCTCTGCTAGCAAGGGTGGGGGTCTTTAGTGCAAACGGCAGTGGGAGAACTGGGATACCAAAGACTAACTCATCTCTGGTTTTCACCCTGTCAGCTTCATGTGAAGTGCTTACTGGTGTAACCAGAGAAAAAGGCTACTGAAATCAGAGTTTTGATGGGATTTATGTGTTGGTGTTTGGGTTGTTTTTTTTCTGGTATTTGGGGAATGAAGGAAATCAGAAGGCCAGCAAAACCATGGGGAGACACCTTGGTGTCCACACTGTAGCTAACCAGTTGCTGGGTGTTGGGGGCATTACCTTTCATCCCTTCGGGAAAGAAACTGATGCAGATTCAAAGCTGGGAATAGTCCACAAGAGTGTGATCGTGTGTGTGTGTGTGTAAAATGTTGCTTTCATTACTGGTAATGGGAACAATACTTCTATAGCTCTGTCAGAGCCTAATTCTGAATCCTTTACAGAAAGCTATTCAAAAGTAAGAGACATTTCTGAATGTGCTCTGCCAGTGAGCATTGCTGAAGGAGGCCTGAAGCTAGGTCTGCAGTAAATGGCAGCTGTGAGGCTGGGACAGAATTCCCTAGATCTGCTGGTAAGGGTAGGTGCTGCTTACCCTGGGACAGAAATTGTTCCAGTCACTGAAACAGTGTGGTCGTGTTGCCTGTAGTTTCCCACAGAAGCAAACAAAACTGTGCATGGTTATCTCTTCCTGCTTCTGCGGGGAACACTTTCCCTTGTTGATTTTTGCAAATATTTCAGTGTTAACTGAGACAAATCCAACATCTTCCCCGTTTGGCTTTAAATTTGCTAAATAAATGCAAAGAATGCCTATTACTGCTCTCAAGAGAACTGTTAATATGCACCATTTTCTTCTGAAGGTTTAGTGTAAAACTACATTTCTTCTCCAGTGACTCTGAATAAATGCTTTTTTTCTTCCTGATTGAAAAACAAACAAACAAACAAACAAAAAACCCCATATTTGATTTATAAGAATATTTAAAATTACAAATAAAACACATTTCACTGTGTTCAAAATAAAAAGGGACATGACACTTCTAAAGATCAGTCTTCCCCAACTCTGCATATAGAAAAACCCACTAAAATCAGTAAGTTGTGTGCATACACTCCACTGTTGTTTGTTCATTCTTACTGTTTAAAATTAGCTGAAAATGAACCACAACTCTGCTATTTTCTTTTCTTTCCTGAGCTTCTGTAGCCAGAGGTAGTTTGGGGTGTGATGGTTCTTTATAAAATATCCTTGCCGAATCCTTAAAGAAAGACATCACCCTTCTGCATCTGAACTTAGAGATCATATGCCCTAGATGTGGAGTAGCTGATCTCTTATTACACTACCCTTCCAATTTCATTAATAAGTGATGTGTCTGAGCCTATTCTTAGTCATTGCATCAACTGACTGAGTAATTGCAAACAGTGTAACTGCATGTTCTGGTGATCTTTTGCTTACACAAATTACATGAGCAATTTACTAGAAGTAATTAGATAAATGGTAAATATGCAGGGAATTACTTGATTTCCTGCACCTTCACTACAAACTCAAACCTCAAAATGGAGTTAAAAGCTTGTGAAGGAAGTTTCAAGAATCCTAGTTAAACATCAAATCCAAGACAGGTTGTCTTCATCTTTAATGGTTTCCTGTTGTGATCTGCTGGTTAGCTGGCATGACTTGGGCTGAATATTGCCAACATCAGTTAACCAGGCATAACCAAGTAGAAAAGGAACTGTGAAGGAAATTTAGCTGGGAGAAGAACAGTAAGCCTGAACTCTGGGATTTTCCAAATGAATAGGAAGGAATTGCTTAAGTTCTTCTTAGACCTTGGAAAATGCCAGCAGCAGTCTGTACCTAGGTGTTGTTCCTACGTTTGCTGAGCTTGTCAGAGAATCCTGGAAGGAATACGGTGAAATCAGTGTCTAATTACTGACATGATCACACACACATTTTGTTTTCTATCATAAGTGTTATAAATAGCCACCTTTCTTTCCCTCCAGTCTGAAGGCATTTTAGAATGCCAGAAGCATTTTTATAAATGCATGTTAATATGTGCTCTTTTTTTGTTTACTTTCTGCATTTCTCTCAGCTTGTGCAGCAAAAAAACAACAAGCAACTTTCACTTTTTTAGTTTCACTTTTAGACTCTAGTTACTGTAAAGTTTCAAATGCAGTTGTGGTAGCTTTATCATTGAAAATCAGATGGGGTTTTTTTATATTTTGGCCAGAAATGTTTCCAATAAATATTGTTAACACATTTGAAGCAAAATAGAAATGAGTGTTTTCCTTTAGTGTAGACTTCCTTACCTAAGTTCCTTGTAAAAGATAAGAAGCTTGATTTAAAACTCTGGGGAAGGAGGCAGGAGGACTGGGGTTTAATGCCACATGTATCACAACCCAAATCTCTTAAATCCACATGTTTAGCCACATTCCCCTGCCCATGGATATAAATTATGTCAAAAAATATGCAGGGACATTTTTGTTACAGTAAGCTGTAGCGTGTGGGCACCAGGCTGGGGCTGCACTGCTGCACCCTGAGGGTTAGCTGCTTCCAAGATGGCTGGATTTGTCACACGTGTGACAAAGAACGGCAAACACGTGGGTGTGAGTGGCACCCACCTGCCCTACTGAGAATGGACATAGCATGGACCTGGTTAGGGCCAAAAAAGATGGCAAACTGGTGCAGCAGGAGATGTGGCTGCCTCCACACCATCATATCCATGTCTTCTTGCAGCCAGGCTGAAAAGGCAGAGAAAGGGTAATGAACTGAGAGGAAAAAAACGTTTCAGCAGCTGGAAACAAGACACCCCTTAGGCTAGGCAGAGCCCCTCCTGGCTGAACACACAGACAACAATGGCATGGGCTGTGATCCCCCTGCGCCGGCTGCAGGACCAGACTGCTGATCCCTGTCAGACTTGGCAGCACATCCATGTGTTAGAGACATGAGGAGGTGCTCTGTTGGCTCCTTCTCCAGCTGTGTAGATGGCATAGCCAACATCTCCAGCTTTGCACATCTGGTTTCATCACATGCAGTTGTAGAGCTGGCTAAACCACTGTTATCTTGTAATTTTGCTGGAGTCCCTGTGCTGAAAATCTGCAGTGTGTCTGGAATAAGACAGCAACAATTCAGACTTACCGGTTGACTGCATTATTTATTTTTGTTTATTTATTTTTAAAGTGTAATTGGCCATGGCCCAGGTCTGGTAGAAGTAAGAATCCAGTGATAAGGTTAGACTGAATAAATTGGCATTTTATTTAGTGTGAGGGTGGTGAGACACTGGAACAGGTTGCCCAGAGAAGCTGTGGATGCCCCATCCCTGGAAGAGTTCAAGGCCAGATTAGATGGGGCTCTGAGCAACCTCATCTAGTGGGAGGTGTCCCTTACCATGCAGGGGGTTTGGAACTAGATGATATTTAAGGTCCTTTCCAACCCAAACCATTCTATGATTCTAAGATTTATATGAAAGGGACTAGCAACAGGATCTAATTCCTTTCTAGTGTAACATCTAGAATTTTCTGATGGCAAAGTCTTGGATGATCCTGTTGGTTTAAACAGTAAAGGAAAATCAAGAAAGACCTGTGTTGCTGCTGGGAGAAAGCTGGAAGTTATAGCTATATAACACAGAATGAAAGGAAGGGACATAACTTGATGAAATTAGGATCTTGAGTGAGGGAGCAAAGGTAAACCCTACACTCTTCAGCAGAGGCTCTTTTCTTGTGGTAAACCCTCTTTGTTTGTGTATGGCTTGGAAGGAAAGCAATGCCTGAGGCCTTCCAACTGCAAAAACAGTGCTACAGGAACTGAACATATGTTGTACAAAAGCTGTTATTTCATTTGTTCTGAAATGGCACTGTGTAGTAGGTGCAAAACGAGGCTTGGGGCAAGTGGCACCAGCTCCTGAGACACCAGCAGAACCACCCATTGACTGGGCTGCTCGAACACGGGGGACTCAGGGGTGCTCTGAGTGCACTGCCCCCCATGGAAAATAACCCCCTTCCATGGAAAAACCTACAGCATCACACAGAACTTACTTTTCCTTTTTAAAGCGGAGTACTAACAGTACGAAGCATTTGTTGCATATGCAGCTCTGCTTTTTTAACCTTTAGCAGGGCACTGGCATTGGAAGCAACAGAGTATCAACAACACGGTGGAGTATTGACATTGTATGTTATCAGCATACCTGGGGCAAAACCAAATCCTTTCCACCTACTGCCATCACACAGGATATTTCTTGTGGGATTTCTTGCCTTTATTTTATTGCTAGCAACTAGCATTTCAAAGGCAACTGTGGTGTTTATTTATTTATTTTAAAGACAATGTGATAAGAATATTAGACAAATCTGATTAATAACAGGGGACAGAACAAATAAATGTAAACATAGGCAAATAAGTTTATTTTCTGAAGTGATTAATTTAAACATGCTAATATGTCAAGAAATAGCAATATGCCTTTCAAAATGATGAAGTAAACCCTATTCACAAAAGAAGTGATTTGCTCTATGTACATGGTTTACCTAGAAGGGTGTGGTTACTATAATGTATGCCTGGCTGGCAAGCAGAGAGGCTTTTGTTCTGTAGCTGCTGTTAAAAGTGTCCTCTGAGGGAGGTGCACCTTTGCACCCATTTAACAAGATTTTGGCCTTCTGCTTTTTTTTGCTCCCATTTTTGCTTTTGTAAATGAAAAGCAAATCCAGAGACATTTCTTGAGGTCCCATTGATATACATGGAATCGTCATAGAATCACAGAATAGGTTGGGTTGGAAGGGACCTTAAAGATCATCTAGTTCTAACCCCTCTGCATGGACAGGGACACCTCCCACTGGATCGGGTTCCTCCAAGCCCAATCCAACCTGGCCTTGAACACTTCCAGGATGGGGGCACAGGCAAGGGGCTAAGCACGTGTCCCTGAAAAGAGAGCTTAATCCATAATCCACAGCAGTTTAGCTGAGGCCAAACACGTGTTTAGCCCCTTCCCTGTGCGGTGCAGAACAGCAATGTCCCATAGACACCAACTGTCTAAGCTCACCCTTTTTTCTGGGTCATGCCACTGGGGAGGCCTCATTCCTCCTTACAGCAGTCTTCTTCCCCTCTCGTTATATTGACTGGGTACATTAGAAGGAAATATATTTGATTTACATCAGTTTAAATAAAAGGGTGGGCTGACTCTGTCTTGTGAAGGCCATTGTCTGTAAAATTCATTTATTTCTCCTTGTACTGGAAGGTATGTAGAGAAGATGTCTTGTCTTCTGTGACCTTAACTCAGTGTTTGCAGTAAGTTAATCCCATCTTGTAGATTTGTCATGGGCTCCTCAGTGGCATGGACTCTTATGCTTCACACACAAACCCTATTTCCCACTTAGTCCATTATCATCTTATTAAAATCCAATATCTCATAGTGTCCTGGCACATGCAAGGGGGTTGGAACTAGATGATCTTTAAGGTCCCTTCCAACTCAACCCATTTTATGATTCTGTGATTCTACAGGCTCTTAACCACCCCCTACCAAACTTTCTCCCAGCATCGGACTAAGTGAGTACAGTGAAGTCGAATCAGTCCCTCCCTTCTTTTTTTCATGTTCCTTCACACCTACCCTATCTCTGTGGTAGCCTAATATAGGCTGGATGGTAAAGCTTTAAATTTCTCACTATATTTGCTTTGCATCCTCAGGCCCTACATCACTCCTTTCTGTATTAGTCAGTAGGAGGTGCCAAAAGAATTAATCACCTCCATTTTATACCTTGCAACCCACTGCTGTGCAGGAGCTAGTCAAATTATGTTTGCAGTAAGGTTGTGTATAAAAATAATGCCTTGCTCCTTCCTGTCTGCCTTGTGCCCATAGGTGCTGTCATTTAATTCAGTTCAGTTACTGCTACATCACACCATTAATTTTTAAATACATTTGTTGAGTCCTAACTAGAAGAAGGCTAAGTGATTAAATAGATGTGTCACTTAGACAACTCTGAAGAAATCACTATGTTATTACTGAGCATTTGTGTCCAACAAACTTTGTGTATCCTGTTTGAAAATGCATTCACAAAAGGTTTTTTAGCAATAACTCTTTGAATTATATGTAACATTGCATCTGCATTTGTTTACATGCACTGGTTTTCGAGGGTTGGAAGTGCTTTGGAGACCTGCAAAAATATTTCCTGAGGTACCTTGTAAGTATCAAGTGACATTTGGAAGCCTGTGGTTTGAGAGCTCAACCAAGTAGGAAAAGGACAGTCCAAAGTACTGAAAAGGCTTATGCTCATCTTCCTGAGGAGGTAGCACCTCACCAGGGGCTGGTGCTTGGTTTTCTTTAGGGATTTGAGCCTGTGTTTGATTTCTATGGCAAGGTTAGCCTGAAAATTAGCTCTGGTGGCTAATTATAAAAAGGAGTTGATCTAGTGGACCCATGACATTAACAAGCAGAAAACCAGGTCTGTGGCCAGTGACTTGCTGACAGTGCTCAGCTCTGGGAGCTCTGCAGTGCAGGAACTACAAAGAGAAACCATGAAAATGAAAACAACTTTAAAAGACAGGTGTCAAACTGGAATTTTTTGTGCTTTCCTTTACTTCTCCCTTTAGTAAAGGCTGGTGAGTTAAATAGAAAATGATACTTGGAAGATTCTTTCATACATTTCTTATTTAGATACCCTGGTCTTTTGCCATGTACACTCTCATACATCTAAAATAAGCCATTAACTTTTGCATTCACAATTCCAGTGCTTTCATTATGTTCATGACTAATGACTGCACTTTCTGGACACACTGGTGTTTGTACATCTATTCTTTAATGTTTTATTACTTCTGTTTTGTGCTTCCCATATGTTTCAGAGGAGAATTCCCTTCTTTCTTTCACTGGTCTTGTTTCTGCTTGCTCTATGTATGCCAATTAAAAATGAAGGCTATGCCTCTGCTTCCCCTCCCTATGGCACAATGTGGTTTTCTCTAGCTCTCACTTTTTGTGAAAAGTAGGCCATCTACTGTTGCTTTCTAGAATGGATTAAAGATAGCCCAGCAAATGGCCATACATATACCTTCAAAGGTGGACTTTCCAAGTGCCTGTTCTCCTGTTTATAGGCACTTCTTATTTCACAGGCATGGTGGGATGCAAAAATCTCCATAGCCAACTGAAATCTGGTTTCTTTTTTTCCTTCTTTTGAACAGTAAACAACGTATTTGGGTCATGTGTTCAGCTGCCTTAACCTTACAGTTTTCTATTTTGTAAAGTAGTTGGTGTTTAGGTTTGTGAAGCTTAGAGTTTTGCCCAGATGGAAATGCTTTTCATAGTTATATATCAAGCACCTTTCCCTTTTTCCATCCTCACTGAAGTTGGAGGGCAGGAGATGAAAAGCTAATGTTTTAAACAACTATTTAGTGACAGTTTTTGTCAGTTTAACACATTTATGTTGTATGGTGGTTGTTGGTTTTTCTTTTTTTTTTTTTTTTCAGTGTGGTTATGAACAGAAAAGTGACTTCAAAAATTGAATCTTGGTAGTACCCATATCTATTCTCCATATGTCTTCTGAGTCATATCTGGATAGTGTGCTGACGAACACAAGCTCCAGTGTTGTCAGCAGTGTAAAACACAAAGAGCTGTGAAAAGGGAGCTGGTCCATCATCTGCCTGTTGTACCAACAGGTCAGCAGCTGGGTTCTGATTCCTCAGTTATTTTTGGAGGTGCTACAGAAAGTGAGCATCAAGAGTGCTTAACTTTATGTTGAAGGGGAACTTGCTGTGGGGGCAATTATTTGGACTTCAGTTTGATGGGGATATTATTGATATATTAGAATCAGATGCAGCCCAAGACAGCTTTTTTGGTCTGTACCTTTAGGTCAAAGGTGGATATTTCTTCTTTTCTTCCTTTGAAACTGGCTCAGGGACTTGTCATGCAACATTATTATTGGAAAAAATTTCCTTTATATAGTCACCTATTAGTCATAAGTCTGTAATAAAATATTTACTACTTGGTTCATTAAGAGTAAAACATGAGTATAACCACTTTATTATGCTCAGTCCATTTTTTGTTCATTTGCAGTCATATGTGATTTCTTAGTGCCTTGCCTCTATGTTTCCATATGGAACTTTGATTACATTTTTTTATTCCAGTCATAGGGAA